TTTTCCTTTTATGGAAAAGCATCCTTCTACTACTTGCCCTTTGTGTGTGTGTGTGTGTGTGTGTGTGTGTGTGTGTGTGTTCACGAGCATGCCCATCCGTTTCTGTATGTGTTGTTAAAATAAACTCACAGGAACTCAAGCTTTTTTCCTTTCCATGAGCCGTGCACACTTGAGTTTTTACACTTGGCAAATGCCTGCTAATCAGACAGGATGCAGCAAAAAAATGGAAGACGTACCAAAACACCTTTTTCCTTCCTTTGCTTAGAAGATCATTAGCAAGAGAGAGGATGTTTGGAAACCAAGAATAGCTCATTCCTGAGCTGTCAGGCTAATGGCTTCATTTTAGTGGGTTAATAGGCTGGCATTTCAGAAATATCATTGCCTCCGTTGCGAATTCCCCTCCAGAATATGAGTAGCTATTTGGATTATGGAAGGGTTGAATCCGTTAATCAGAATAGAGCTAGAAGGGACTTTGGGGGTCTTCTAGTCCAGCCCACTACTCCAGCAGGAGAATCTATAACATCCCAGCCAAACGGTTGTCCAGTCTCTTCTTAAAAACCTCCACTGATGAAGCACCACAACTTCTGGTGGCAAGCTGTCCCACTGGTTAATTGTCCTCATTGTTAGGAAGTGTCTCCTTAATTCCAGGTTGCTTCTCTCCTTGATTAGTTTCCATCCGTTGTTTCTTGTCCTGCCCTCTGGTGCTTTGGAGAATAAGTTGAGCCCCCTCTTCTTTGGGGCAGCCACTCAAATACTGGAACACTCCTGTCATGTCCCCCAAATTCTTCTTTTCTTCTTCTCTAGGTTAACCAAACCCAAATCCTGCAGCCATTCTTCATATAGTTTAGCCTCCAGGCCCTTAGTCATCTTAGTTGCTCTTCTATGCACTTTTCCCAAAGTCTCAACATCTTTGTTGTAACGTGGTGACCAAAACTGGTTGCAGCATTCGAGGTGTGGCCTTACTAAGGCTTTACAAAGCGGTCCTAACACTTCACATGATTTTGAATCTGTGCCTCTGTTTATATAGATTCACAGGAGGAAGCTCAGGGCTCATGCGGAGGAGGTGTCTCAACCTGATACTACTTGTTAAGCAATGCTACCTTGTGATCTTGTGAGGCTTGCGGGCTCGTTTACACTGCTGGCCTCTCGGTTTAGCAACCCAGCACCTTGATACTTTAGCAGAAGTTTATCTGGAACAATGAAGGTGGTGAAAGGTCTGGAGGCTAAAACGTATGAAGAACGGTTGCAGGAACTGGGTATGTCTAAATAATGGAGTAAGGAGGAGTAAGGGTGACAAGATAGCCATGTTCCAATATCTCAGGGGCTGCCCCAAAGAAGAGGAAGGGGTCAAGCTATTCCCCAAAGCCCCCTGAAGGCAGGACAAGAAGCAATGGGTGGAATCCAATCAAGGAGAGAAGCAACCTAGAACTAAGGAGAAAACTTTCTGATGGTGAGAACAATACATCAGTGGAATGGCTTCTGTGCTGCCCAGCCAGTATATGGGAATTGGGATAGTTAGTTAGGAATTGGGAGCTGTCCCCTTAAGGGAATGCATCATGGTAAATGTAGCTAAGGTATCCTGGGAAATGTAGTCCATGTCATGTGGTCACATCTGTAATCCTGATTGGTCACTGAATGGACCCTAGCTTCGTGCTAGCGCTTCTCCTTTGGCTCCACTACTATGGGATGAAATAGGAGATGAGAGATTACTATCATTTTACACTATGATTTCAGCTATGCAAAGAATTGGACATTAGATGCATCTCGACATAACTGTGAGTTACCTTGAGGATACCTAATATAATCCAATAAAAGAAACTTTGTACGGAAGAATTTGTAGAGTTGTCTGTCTTTATATTCAACAATTGAATCAAAGGACAGAATAGCTGCCCTCTAGAAGTTGAGGTTTTTAAGAAAAGACTAGACAGCCACTTCTCTGAAATGGTATAAGGTCTCCTGCTTAAGCAAGGGGTTGGACTAGAAGACCTCTAAGGTCCCTTCCAACTCTATTATTTTCCTCCCAAACTAGGACATCTCAATGGCTATCCCTCAATAGGTGGAAATGGGCCATCTGGAGAGGTCCAGATGGTGCTGTGGTGGCTAGATGTTAAGGGACAGCATCCAGAATTGGTGGGTTTTGCCTTGTTACGTGTGTACTGTGTGGTTGTATCGCCAACTCCCAGATAACATTATTGCTTTAGAAACGATAAGCTCTCGTTGCCTTTTGGAGGAGGACAGCGGGCATTTGCAGTTGAATTATTATTTCGTACGGCGTTACAGCCGTAGAGTGTAAACTTCACCCAAAGGAGCATGTAAAACATGCATCAAAAATATAAAACGCCAGTGAATTATTATAAAAATACACAGGACGAGCAATAAATTATGAATAGAATTAAATGGAATGCAATGTAGACTTAACCGCCTCATGGTGCACTCCGGCTAAATAATCGACACACTCCGGCTGCTGGACTTCACAAGGATTTCCCAGCTAGAAGAAGCAGCCTGAATACTGGGGAAAAAATGGTGAATTATGCCAAGTATCCATAAAGCACCAGGTTGGGGAATCCTGGATCTCAAGTCTTGGCTCAACCAACCGTTCCTGCCCTTGGTTTGGGTTCTCTGCAGCTGCATGACTGATGACTAACAGCCCAGGAACGCCAATCGGAAGGGAGGTCACTCCAGTATTTTAAGCCTGAAATAAATGGGAGGGAAAAAGGGTACCATCCTTGGAGCCAGGCCATCGATGAACATTGGATAACACCATAAGATTGCAGGCAGAGTGACCCTTGTGATGTGGCCGTCAGCGTTCCAGTGAAACTCCCCATTTCATTCAGCACTCAGAAACCAAGTTCATCCAAGTAAGAATTTATTAAGGAAGTCATACCAGCACATCTGGGAAAACCAAAATCTGAGAATTCCGAGGTTTCCCCTTCCCAATTGAGAATTCAAAAACCCATCATCCCCTGCACCCACTGGCCCATCCCACGGCCCAAGGAAATCTTCGTCCCAACTGGAGACATTCCTCCAGACCAAGGGTCTTCCAACTTGGCAAGTTTAAGACTTGTGGACTTCCACTCCCAGAATTCCTGAGCTAACCTGACTGGAGGAGGAGGGATTCTGGGAGTGGAAGTCCACAAATCGTAAAGTCACCCACCCTCTCCATTTCCAGGTGCAGGGTAACTTGTCCTTGACTTGATGAGAAAAAATGTTGTTACCTCTAATCTTCCACCTCTCTATGAAATCCCCCCTCCCACATTCCCAGGCACTAAGATTTTGAAGCTTCTAAGTACAATATGGCTTCCAAAACTGACAGTGGCTGTGTTTGGTGCCCCTTCCCAGAATGAGTCCAGCGTGTCCATATTTAGGTCATTCTTGTCAAAGGTCTCCATCAGACCGACCCCTCCCAGGTTGAGGCAAACCCCTCTCTGATAAGATAAAGACATTCCACTTCTCTGGTTCTCCCCATTGGACTGAGAATGCCCTGCTTTCGGTCTTGGGCTATGCTTAGCCTTTAGACAAAAATACAGATAGTCCACAACTTACAACAGTTCAATTAGTCACTGTTCAAAGTTATAACTCAAGTCATTGAAAAAAGTGACCTTTGACCGTTTTTTATGACCATTGCAGGATTTCCAGGCTCATGTGATCGAAATTCAAATGCATAAACATGAATCAGCTGCAGGATCTCGAGGTCTTGGTTATCCACGGTATTCTCAGGAACTTTCACCCATAAACATATAATTATGGACATGCCTATATCACATCTGTATCAATGGCTTCAAACTTGGACATGTTTGTCAGGGGACTGGAGGCTAAAACAAACGATGAACGGTTGCAGGAACTGGGCCTGGCCAGTCTCGCGAAGAGAAGGACCAGGGGAGACAGGAGAGCATCTTCCAATATTGGAGGGGCTGCCAAAGAGAGGAGGGGGTCAAGCTATTTTCCAAGGCACCTGAAGTCCAGACAAGGAATAATGGATGGAAACTGATCAAGGAGAGATTCAACCTGGAAATAAGGAGGAATTTTCTGACGGTGAGAACAATCAACCAATGGAACAGAAGTTGCCTTTGGAAGTTGTGAGAGCTTCATCCCTGGAGGCTTTGAAGAAGAGACTGGACTGCCATCTGTCAGAAATGGTGTAGGGTCTCCTGCTTGGGTGGGGGGTTGGAATAGATGACCTACAAGGTCCCTTCCACCTCTGTTAATCTGTAAATGAATATGTTCATGTTCGAGGCCAACGGTTCATCTGGATCACTTTCACTTCCAACCAACTGCTGATCAAAGCTCAGTGCTTAAGGCAATTTTAATCCATTTTTTAAAATCCTACCTTGCCATGACGGCTAATACGGACAAGCTTGATTTGGCCTACTAGGGTTGGAGGATGGTGAGTGTAGGTGTAGTGGAAGTACAGGTAGTGCTCTGCTTGCAACAGTTCGCTTAGTGACCAAAGTTACAATCGAAGGCACTGAAAGGAGTGGCTTACGACCATTTTTCACACTTGCGACCATTGTAGCATCTCCACGGCCACCTGATTCAAAATTCAAATGCTTGAGAACTGTCTCATTTATGGTCGCAGTGTCATAAAACAGGGCAAAACTCACTGCATGAATGTCTCCCTTAGCCATACCAGTTGTGGTCGTTAGTGGAGGGCCAGCTGTGGAGGAAGCTACCCTGCTTCGTGTTTGCCTGCCAGCCCAGTTTTTTGCAAGGAGCGCAAGGAAATCTGGCATGTCATTGTACATGAGAGAGAGAGAGAGAGAGAGAGCAGGAGGCGGTTGCTATGGAAACCATCCAGGTTGGACCATTATGGAGCATCTCACTGGCCTTTCCAGGCAGCTGCACAAACCAGGGATTGGCGGAGGAGGAGATGGAAGGAGGGCCGGTTAGCTGGCATTTTGATTTCTGGGTTGCTTATATTGTGGATTTCCTTCTCCCCTGTCCACACTTAAAGCACATTGCTGTATAATTATCAGTGCTGTCAGAATACATCCGGCCAGGAGATGCTCTGCAATTACATCCCCTCTCAGTCTGGCCCTACTCAGACCTACATCAGCCTGAGCAAAGCAAATAAGCTGCACAAAGCTGTGCTTGGTGTTTCTGGCTGCAGGAAGTTCCTGCCCAAACTATTCCTGCCATCCATCTACTTACTGTTTTTCTTGTCTTTCTCTGCATCTGTGTTTTAAGAAATATTTAAGGTTGATTCTCTGGTGGCAAATGAATGAAAAATGTGTGTAAATCAAAATGTGACGTTTATGATTGTGTGTTCGTATGGTAAAGAAGCAAAAACAAAACAGACATTATTTATAATGTGACCTTAACTGTGGCCAAGTGCAATCAGAATTGAAAAATAAAAATGAAACTACAATTAAGATGACACTAAAGCAATCCAAACCGGATACACGCTGGGATTTATTTGCAATCATGGTTAAAAAAAAAAAAAAAAAGGATAATTCTTATGCTTTGCACCCAGCCCACCTCCCAGAGAAGAAAATGTTCTGTTTGGCCTTTGAACAATTTGCCTTGACCCATTATTTTTTCCTGTTTTTGTTTTTATTTACCATGCTCTTTAGTAAAATTTCCAGCAAGCTAAAGAGCCTAGGAACAAATAGACTTTTACTTGGCAGGCAGCCTTGAATTGCTTCCGCTGTCCATCCCAAGTTGCTGGAAAACCCTTCCTGTGTCTTACCTTGCAGGAGTCGGAGCTGGAAAACAAGCTTGATGGAGGAGAAACTGCATCGGATAGTGAGAATAAATCGGAGGCCGCCCCTCCCTCTTCGGCCGACGATACCCCTGAGGTCCTCAACAGAGCACTCTCCCACCTGTCCTCAAGGTACCGTTGTCAGGGTTCCTCGTAATACACCCATAGCAAACAGAATTCCAAGGCAAGTAAGTTCCTCAAAGAACAAGTTTATTGGACATATCGTATTGGCACAGACTGGTGAAAACCGATTCTGAATATTCCCACAGTTTTCACCTAATTAAAAATGAAATTTTCTCCCCTTTCCCCCCAAAAATCAGTCACACAGTCCAATCAGGGTCCTGTCTGGTTGCTTGGTAACATTGCTCCTCCTCTCTCCTGCCACCTGTGGGATGTCCTTGGTTCTCAAGAGAAAGTTTTTTGTTTTGGCTACAAATCCCAGCTATCTCTATTCCTCCCTACCTATTCCTCAGCTCCAGCGTGGCAGCACCAAAGCCTCAAAATGGCCTCGGTCAGGTCATTCTTCAGGGTTGACAATCGTGATACCAAAATATCCTTGTGCGTTGGGAAGAGGGGGGGTTACTATGAATTGGCTTTACCTGGTGGACCATCCTGTGGAGGAGGAGCTGGTGCCAAAGTGGCGGTAGCACAACTGCCAATATCATCCCCCTCTTGCCGTGTGACATTGGGTTTCAGGAATTCTCCCAGGTGAGTTCTGACCCATTTCCTGCCCCTTCACTACAGGCTAAGGTCAGGATGGATGGCTTTCCTGGATGTCTTCATTCAGACATTGGCAGAAAACTTGTCTCCTCGCTATCAAACCCAACGTAGAATAACTAATGTGCTTGGTTTGCTTTATAGCTTACTCTGTGCTGCAAATAACAACCAGTTGTAGTTTATTTGGTAACCATCATTAAGCAAACCAGGCTTTGTGAAGGCAGGTTGGGGGAGGGGCTTTCCCATGGGGGAAAACAAGCAACTTCAGGTGATTTGAACCCCAAATTGGTCGTTCAGTATATTTGGGATTGTCTGGTTATTACACCATCGCTTAAAAAGTTTGTTCCTTAGCAATATGTGCCCCACATTCTCAATTCAATTCAAACCTTTATTGTTGGTGCACAACATGTGTACTATGAGATTGGCTGAGCCTCCTAAGCCGGGATTCGCAGCATGGTTCCACTCCGGATGTCGTGGATGTTGGGATTCCCAGGTCGAGGACCCACAGGCCAAGCAAATGCTGCTTGGGTGTAATCTAGCCATGCCCTACCTAACTTTGGAAAAGCCCGTCGGAATCTCTTCCCAAGGTTCAGCTGATCCCTTGCCGATCTGCTCCTGCCTTCTCTGGGTTGGAAACTTGGACTGCCTGTCCTTCATTGACGAGGATGTCTGTGTCTTCATAAATATTCAGGAAGACCTAAAGATAATTTAAACGCAGTTCAATTGGCATTTAAAGGCTGCTTGCCAGGTGGCTTCACGTTTATCTGCTGGGCTCAGCAGCTCAGATCCTTCCATCCTATCTTGAGCAGCATTTAGTCCCTGAGCTTTTGCAGGGAGACCCTCAAGGGACCCTCGTGTTCTGGCAGGAGATGCTTGTGCTAGAAGTGAAATTCCACTCAGGCATCATCACAAAATCTCCAGAGCCATAAAGTTCTTGCAAACTCGAAATGTGGCACATAGGTTCCTCTGGGCTTCTAGGGGCTCACTAAGAAAGGATTGTTCGAAGTGACCATCAGAGCATATAGAGTATTTCCTATATTATTATTATTATTATTATTATTAACACGCTCTGATGCTAAGGAGTTCTACTCCCCCTCCCCACCTGGAAAGAAACCTGTTCCAAATGCAAAACACAAGCAGAGGAGTTTCAGCTTCACAGCACCAAGCAGCTTTAGTACAGAACAGTTGAGTTAAGCCATGCCCAGGCTCCTTGCTCACACAGCAAATACTCTTTCAGTTTCCAAACAGCCCTCAACTCTCTCACAGACTGACAGGATGCTAGCCAGATGAATACTGGTGGATGCTGGTAGGCAAAGGCAGAATTTGCACCTCCCCCCCCTTATTTTCCTTTCCAAATCGAGCTAGTTATTTGATAACAAAAATCTCCTGACTTTCAGTTTTATTGTTCGTAGACGTTAAAAGAAAAAAAAACAGACAAGGAGGGACGGATTGTAGCCGTTGGTTGTGCTGTTGAAACCAGAGCTCTCCAGAGTTCAAACTTGACTCGTCCTCTCTTGCAGATGGAAGAACTGGTGGGTGAGGGGCATCCTGACATTGGCCATGATTGTCTTCTTCTTCATCATCATCTACTTGGGGCCCATGGTGTTGATGATGATTGTAAGTTCTTGTTGTGTCTGAACTATCTATCTATCTATCTATCTATCTATCTATCTATCTATCTATCTATC